GATTTCCCTTTCTTGCCTTATGGCCCTGGCTAGGACTTCCAGTACAATGTTGAATAGAAGTGGTGATAGCGGGCATCCTTGTCTAGTTCCTGTTCTGATGAGTTTTCTTCTGTACTATACAACCTTCAGGCTGTCTTACATTTCAAATAGTTGCTAGTTTGGAATCTCTTAAAGTCTTATTTTTAGTCATTTCCATTTGGTTGGTTCCATAGCACTTTAGCTCTGGACATACCAGGGGGTGAATAAAAGATTTGTTGGGCAGCTTAACAGTACATAATTTTCTTTTTAGCGCCTACATAGTAGTCTGTTGTATAAATTTCATAATTTTCTTATCTAATTTCTTAATGTGTACATTTAGATTATTTCTAGTTTTTTGTTATTAAAAGCTACAGAAAACATTATTGTCACATATCTTTGTGTACTCATGAGTATATCCATTGGACATTACTGGCTCAAAAAAGATACTCGTTTAAATTTTTAATAGTACTCCAAATTAATCTTCACAAAAAAGGTTTATACCAGTTTACCACCAGGTGTATATGAAAATGCCCCTTATTTTTTCCCTCACCAGTATTGTGTGTTATAATCTGATATGTAAAGAATTAATAAAAATTCATTATAAAGCTGCATTTTCATATATTTATTGACTGTTTTCAAAGGTGATTCTTTAGATTTCAAGCATGGAATATCAGTGAATGTGAATTCAAAACTTTGAAGAAATGGTGCTGTGTATGTAGGGTGTCATTTAAATGCCTGAGGCTGTAATGACCTCATCAACTTCCCATCTTGACCTTCTCTCCTGCTTTCAGGTGATCATGGAGCTCAACTTGGCCTCCATGGGGCTGGTGGTGATGGAATACATGATGACACAGCAGGTGGAGAGGAAGGAGAGAACAGCCCAGATCCTCAACCCCAACCTGGACGGAGGAACCGACGGGAAGCATGCACCTGTCCCTACTGTAAAGACAGTGAAGGAAGGTGAGATTACCCACCCAGTCTCTTAAGAGTATATAAAAAAAGAGATTTCTGGTAAGATGGAGGAATAAGCAGACAAGCGACACAGACCACCCTTTTCAACAAAGAAGAGAAAAACCAATTGACAGAGATACAGAAGATAATCCTGGAGCCCTGAGCTTTGAAAGAAACTATATGGAAGTGGATTAGGCACCAACTAGTGTGAAAACCTGAACGAAAACAGTGAATACAGAGATGGTCAGAACTGTGGACTGTCAGCTGCTCTGACAGGACCAACAGCCTGATTATTTCCAAGTGGTGTTGGGACCTGAGAATTGACCTAAACATCAGCCCTGGTCACCGAGGGCTGCAGGGACGACTGCACCGGTGGCCTGTGACTGGGAAGGGAAACAGTAAGGACAGAGACAACCTAAGCTGTTGAATTTCCGCTGTCTGGAGGGTGCAGCCATTTTGATTGTTTGCACGTGGTGCTCATTTTGGATATTTAAAGTGACCGAGGGTGCAGCCATTTTTAATCTTTACAAGTGGCAACATTTTGGATTTAAAGTGATAGTATTCTCATTCAGATTCCAGGGACCTAAGAATAGGCTCTGTTTGCCAAGGTCGGCAGGGACATACCAGAGGCTGACAACAGCAAAGAAGACAGGTGGTGAGTGTGTAAGTGCTGTCAACTAGTGAATAGAGGAGCACAGTACAGTACCCTGCTTGCATAGATAATATACAAACAAAACAAAGAAAATGAAAATTGTAGGCAAGTCACTCCAACATAAAATCACCAATTAAATATCAACACAAAAAAGGTCACAGTGCCTTGGAGACAATAGAGCATCACAGTCCACACAAAGAAACAAGATAAAACAGGAGAAACAAGGAAACAGAATACAGACCCAAAACACATCCCTGAGGAAGACTCAGCATTGGAACTCCCTGATAAGGAATTCAAAAGAGTTATATTTAGGTATCTTCAAAGGATCAAGAGACAGATCAAGGAAAACACAGACAAAACCCTTAGAAGAATTTTGTAAGAAAGTACAAGAACAAAATGACAAAGTAAATGAAAAATTAGAAATGATTAAAAATCTACGGAGAGAAATTCAGGAGATTAATACTAAATTGTCAGAAATGCATAGCACACTGAAAGGGCAAAGGAGTAGAATTGGTGCAATGGAAGACAGAATTAATGAGATTGAAGAAAAATACCTGAATACTTCTTTGGAAAGGGAGTAATCAGAAAAAAGATCAAGACAAAATGAAGAAAGCCTAAGGTTAATACTGGATACCATCAAAAGGAATAACCTCCGTGTCATTGGAATTCCAGAACAGGAAGAGAGAAAAATAAAACCACTGAGAAAATTGTCCAAGATTTGTTGGAAGAGAACTTCCCTGATACAATAAAAGATGAGAATATATCCATTCAGGAAGTCCAATGAACCCCAAACAGGGTAGACCCCAAAAGAAAATCACCAAGACATACCATCATCAAACTCACCAAAACCAGGGACAAAAAAAAGAATTATGAGAGCAGCATGGGAAAAAATGAAAAGTTACCTACAAGGGGCAACCAATAAGACTGAGCTTGGATTTCTTGACAGAAACCATGTAGGTGAGAAGAAATGGGATGGTATATATAAAACACTGAGAGAGAAAAATTTCCAACAAAATGTACCCAGCAAAATTGTCCCTCAAATATGATGGTGAAGTTAGGACATTTCCAGATACTCAGAAATTTAAGGGAATTTGTTAAAATCAGACCAGCCTCACAAGAAATGCTAAAGGGAGCCCTTTGGATAGAGAAGCAACAACAGCCAACAACTACTGACCATTAACACACATGATAATATAACCCAGAAACCAACCCAGCTATGGAAGTATCCAAAGTAAAGAAGCCTACAAGATTGTAAACAGGGAACCAGAGACATCAACTGACAAATGAGGACAACTACAAAACAAAAAGAGGGAAAATACTGTGTTGTTACAGAACTTCTAGATGGTAGGGAAGTCAGGACAACTACAAGATAGAACGGACTGTTCTAAACTTGGAAAGAAAACTATAAATCACAGGATAACCTCAAAGAAAAATATAAACTTTCACATAGAAAAAGAGGACCAGCATAAGTATTCCGCAGATACTAAAACAATAGCAATGAAGGAAGTGAAATAGGATTCATAAACAAAATAAGCTCAGCATAGAAAATTATATGGAACAAAGAAATTGACACCACGAAAAAGTACATAACAAAAATGACAGCAATAAATTCATATTTGCTGATAATTACATATCTGGCAAGGGACTTATCTCCAAGATTTAAAGCAGAAGAGTAGATGACCAAACTATGGTTGCATACACATAATGTAATGCTATGCAGCACTAAAGAATAATGTAGAGTCTGCAAAACACTGCATAGTATGAATGAACATGGAGGACATTATGCTGAGTGAAATAAGTCAATCACAGAAGGCCAAATATAGTATTAGTTCAGTGTTCTGGAGGGTCAAGAAATGGTTTATATATGGAGGGAAACTTTCTTGGTTGCCAGGAGTGGGAGGCGGGGGAACACTGCAAAAAAAAGAAAAAAATGCATTGACCCATGTCACTTTAGTTTTGTGTATTTCACTGTATGCAAATTATTTTTCAATAAAATGCATTTAAAAAAGAATATAAAAAGAAAATTTTAATAAGTTTAGAAATAAGAGGAAGAGGATTAATTTTTTAATATTTAAGACAATAGATTTGCAAAAGGATTAGCGATGGTACATTTGAATATGTTACGGTATCTTGGTTCCAGCTCTGTCTTTCATTGGTTTTTAAGACCCTGAACCTTAATAGATACCTCCTTTTACCTAGAAATAAGGAAGTAAGATTGTGCCAGCAGGTCTAATAGTTGTTAGCAAATGTCTGTTTTGAGATGGTTTTAACAAAGTTGCTTGCAAAACAGCCTTGTTAAGAAAAAGAAACTTCCCCAACCTACCTACTGTAATCATTTTTTACAGTGGCTTTGTGGGAATAATAAAGAGTTTTTTGAGTCATTCTTTTGTTTAAAATAGACAAAACTGCTTATTCCAAATAGAAAAATTTTCTATCAGAGAATCTAAAGTGTCCTGCAGAGCAAAGGTCATTTCTAGAGAGGACTAAATTCTCTATTTATTGCTTTTGAAAGAGAATAGTAAGCATTAATCAAGTAACTTAGCCTTTCAAATGTCTTTGAAAAATCTGTTGAAGTTTGGTCCCAATACAAGTAAGTACAAAAAATATGAGAAACAGGAAAAACACCAAAACAAAAAATAATTGGAATTCTTTATAGGTTACTCTGAGTTACAGGAAAAGCATAGTCCTCCTAAGTCAAAAGTACTGAGTAAAGTACAGTTTTCCTCTAACGAAGCTTAAAATGGAAATTTCTAAAGGAAATTCTCTAATTTCCACCTAAATTGTAATTTCATTTCTATTAGGGTTTTTTCCCTCTGCATTAAAACCCAAGAAAAATCCCTCTTGAAATTCTCTTCAGTGGCCACTAATGGATCACATGTGGAAAAAATTGATTTGGCAAAAAACATTTCAGAATTGATTCTTGAAGGGAACCTTGGGACCTGCTTCATACAGGCAATATTTTTTTATATATAGGCAGTCCCTATATTATGACTAAGTTCCATTCCTAAGTCTGTCTTTAAAGCTAATTGGGATGTAAGTCAGAACAGTTAGGTACAGATCGTATCCAATGTTAATTAGTCAAATGTTTGTCTTAGTGTACAGTATACAGTGTATTTTTCTATGCATAAAAAAACATGAAACACTTCTAGATACACCAAAACATCTTTAACATAATAATAATACTGTTTTGATGCACGTGGCAAAGTAGCACCCATTTGTTATTACAAACCTCAAATTTTTAATATAATAGGCTTTACAAGGATGGTTTATAACTACAGGTTGTGCATTAGTTGGACTTCCTAACCTGGGGACTGCCTAGATTTTGAATTAGTTAGGTTTCCTCCCTAGTAGATATTTGCTCTTTTCTGGTCTGTTGTTGCTTAATCAGTTTTGATGTTTGGATTCTCTCCGTTTTTTAAACTTTTATCCAATTCATCGTTTGCTTCCACTGAAATCCCTAATATTGTCCCAGCTTTTCAGCTTTCAGTCTTCACCATTTAGCTCTTGACGCTTATTGTAGGAGAAAAGTTCTGTAGTTCTAAAATACTGTATTTTCCATAAAGTTCTACATCAGGTCTTTTTTTTTTTAAAAAAAAAAAAAAAAGGAAGCCTTGCTCATTAAGGAAGTTCTTAGCCAAAAATATCACCGTATTCACAGTATTTCCCATGAAAAATGCTTAGATGAAGACTTAAACTTCTTGAAGGGGGGGAGCCTCAAAAACTGCACAAGTTCCATGAGAGTAATGATCTCTTCAGATATCCAAACATTTAAACATTGAAATTGATTAAGCAGCAGGAGAGCAAAAGAAGCAAATACCCAGTAGAGAAAAAACCTACAACTTGAATTTGGGTATTAAGAACCAAAATCAACTAAATATTTATCTCCTGATACTAAGAAAAGCCTTTTTTATAAAAAAAAAAAAAAAAAAAAAGGTGGGGTTAGTTTTGAGTTGCTTAAGTAGTTGCTATTGATTCTTTGTGGTTCTTTACTTCTGTTTCTAGAATGAATGACGAATAGTTCTGTCTTCACTTGCAGGAGCTCTGGGGACCCTGGCAAAAAGAAACAGCACATTTGTCACATCCAAGGTTGTGGCAAAGTATATGGCAAAACCTCACACCTACGGGCACACTTGCGCTGGCACACAGGCGAGAGACCATTCATGTGTACCTGGTCATACTGTGGGAAACGCTTCACACGTTCGGATGAGCTGCAGAGGCACAAACGTACACACACAGGTGAGCAGAAGCTAGAGTAGAGAGAAATATAGACCAGAATGGAAAGACACAAAATATACTTTAAAAATAACTGAAAAATTAGGAACACCTTACTAGAAACTTAAGTATATGGATCGCAAACGGAATTGAAGTTAATGTGGAAAATCTTTAAGAGGGAAGGTGCTAGGTTTTGAGTGAGATTTGAAGAGAGAGAGTTGACCCATTATTCTGCAGTTTCTGTTTTGCTTTTAACTTTCTACTAGCTTCCACCTTCCTTACTGAATACTCCCCAGGCTGTATCTGTTTTTCTCCCCCCAAAAGCAAAAAATGCCTCTTTCTCTTGTCCTTATTCTTGTTCTGCCTAATACAGTTTGGTGGCAATGAATTGGGCAAAGTACCCCCACTTCATATGATGTCAACTTCTTTATTTTTTTCCTTTACGTAGGCGAGAAGAAATTTGCCTGCCCTGAGTGTCCCAAGCGCTTCATGAGGAGTGACCATCTGTCAAAGCATATCAAGACCCACCAGAATAAAAAAGGGGGCCCAGGTGTAGCCCTGAGTGTGGGTACTTTGCCCCTGGACAGTGGAGCAGGTTCAGAAGGCAGCGGCACTGCCACTCCTTCGGCCCTTATTACCACCAATATGGTAGCCATGGAGGCCATCTGTCCAGAGGGTATTGCCCGTCTTGCCAACAGTGGCATCAACGTCATGCAGGTGGCAGATCTGCAGTCCATTAATATCAGTGGCAATGGCTTCTGAGATAAGGCACCTGAGGCCAGAGACATACGGGCCATACCCATCAACCCCAGGATGCAAGGTAGCATGGGTCCAAGAGACATATGGGAGAGAGAGCCATGAGGCATTAAAATGGATGGTGGTGGGAAGAATTGGGAGAGGGATACAAGAGAAGAGATGGGGTCCTGGCACCCACCTATATCATCAGTGCCTCCTTGAAGTGGGAAACATTAGTGAAAATTTTGTTGGTGCCACTCTTTGGTGAGCATTTGTTTGACCCCAGACAATTTCTTACACTTCTTAACCCAGCCTCCCCTTCCTGCCTTTCCCATCGCAGCTCCCCCATGATGGATTCCCCTCCCCTTTCCTAAAGCCATCATGCCTTGATAAATATATATGATCATTGAAATACTTTTTAACAAAA